TATGTTTCATGAGTAGCCACGTCGCTTCTTATTTTTTGCATACCTAACTTTTATAAAATTCGTAAGAAGATCGAAGAAAATTCTTTATGCAAAATTATCTTTCTGTATCAAAGTCTATTAGAAAGTATGGGTGTTTCTATACTTCTGTTTAAAACATCTATTTTAAGTATGATTTAGTATATATAAAAATATTAATACATCAATTTTAGATCACCTATTTCAAAACTAATTATCAAAAAATATATCAGAGAAACGAAGAAACATTTTTATGCAAAATTGGTACATGACATGAAAGCCTATCCGCATCTTCAATTTTTATCTTTTTCTTCAATTTTTGATTTATCTATTGTAAAAAATTTTAAATAAGTAAAAATTTATAAGTTTATTAAAAATAAAACTAATCAATAATTCTTTTCATTAAATAGTTCAAATTTTCTACAAAGTAAACTATCTTAACATATATTTTTACTAATTGCAAATAACTCTAAAGGTACTTGCAATCTTTTAAAATGAGGAAAGGTACTGTACCAACTCCTAAAATATAAAATCTTGTTATAATTCCGAATTTCTAGGTCTGTCAAATTGATATCAGATTTTAGTTAAGTCAGTTTTTTTGAGCAAATTTTCCACAACCCAATATAGCAATATAGCTTACTTTTTGAGATATCAAGATTCAAACTGGTTTAATAGTTAATCATCTAGTGGCAATTTTTTACTTTGGATGTGTAGGGTTACAAAAAATAGGCATGATAGTTGGTAATATCTCGAAAGTTAAGCTATATTGACATATTGATCAGTTTTGGTTATGTTGACTAACTGCAAACTACGTATGACCAATTGTTTTCTAGCGATATCAAATGGAGTTAAATCTTTAGATAGTTTATTGTAGATTTTGAGGATTATCATATTTAAGGAGACCCTGTGTGCTGTAGTTCTAGTCCATACGTATTGTACATGGTACTGATATTGACATATAGCGTAGTGGGAAAAGTTGCTCATAATAGCTTTCTTTACTAAACTTTGTTTTCAAGTGAGTTTTCTCGAGAAACCGGAACCGCGTCTAAATTTTTGTCACACTAGATATATCAAATAAAAGATAACTATATATAATATAAAGAATTTCTAAAAAATAGATTTAAAAAATAAAACCATACAGA